AAAAAAAAAAAAAAAAAGAAAAAAAAATAAGGTATTAATATCCGATTGATCGTCGAAAAAAATAGCGCTATCCGAAAGGCTAAAAAAGGAAAAAAAAATCCGAGGGAAAATAAAAAATAAAAAAATCTCACGAAGGGGCGACATCGTTTGAATTCTAATTCGTCGTAAACTTTCTCGCTCGTAACTATATACGCACGGTACATACAAACGCTCTCCTCTCTCTGGTCGTTACTCTGCTTCGTACTCTCTCACTGAGGACTTGCTCGCAAGCGAACAGATGGACGCACATACATATACATGTACATTTACATATTATATACATATTACATATATGGGGGGGGGAGGAATACACATACACACACGTACCGAAAAACAGACATACTCTCGATGCATGCACGCTATATCGCTATCGGTTGCGAATACACACAATACACACATCCATACGTACACATAGAATCGCATACATACACATGTAGTTGTGTACACGCAAAAGTAAGTATCCTCGTGAACGCGTCTCTCGTTAGCCATAAAGAAAAGAGAGTAGGGGAAAGAAGAAAAAAAAAAGAAAAAAAAAAAAAAAAAATCTTCAGTCACGCGATTCAAAAAAAAGAACAGAGAAGAGAAGAGAGAGAAAGAGAGAAAGAGAGAAAAATAGAGATACAATGGAGAACTATCGGAACAATGATAATGGGATACGATAGAATAATATTAATAATAATAATAATAATTAGAATAATAATATTAATAATAATAATAATAATAATAATAATAATAATAATAATAATAATAATAGCAAATAGTAATAATAGTAAATAACAATAATAATAAATTAGTTCTGTACAAAGTTTCGCTTCGAACATGATATATAATATTGTAATACCTAAGAACGGGTCAGACGATGATATTCGCGATCGTCCGCCTCCACAGCATTTCATATTATATACATATATATATATATTTTTTTATGCGTGTGCATATATATATGTATATTTCATTTTGCTCCCCTGCTGTCGAACTCCTCGCTGAAGTCTCTTCTTCTTCGTCTTCATCGTCATCTTCATCATCTTCCGTTTCTTTTCTTTTCTTTCTTTCTTTCTTTTTTTTTTTTTTTTTCAAGGAAGGAGTCTCGGGACCTCTCCACTCCCCGTTGTCTTCTTGTCAACATCAACCTCAACGGAGGATCGTCCCGCGCGATCGTCCAATAGAACGTGCACGCGCGAGCCACCAACTTCTTGCTTCAGCAATACGAACAGCAACAAGGAACAGCAACAACGGCAGCAAGCAACGCATCCCGCGCTACCACCGTGTTGTGTGTCGTCACCGTAGTGGCAAAGTCCGGTGGAACGTTCTCACGCGCGACGTCCTGCGCAACGGGAGGGAGAGAAACAAAGGAATCGCAAAGAAACGCACGCCCGTTCACCCGCTGGCCCATAACGGAGAGCCGAGCGCGGCGCGCACCACACGTAGATGACTATTGTAGTATTCGTGTACGTACGTGCGCGTATATGCACAAAGGGATTCGTAACGCGTGTGTTTCTCTGTCGCGCCGGTTGGTAGTTACGCGCGTCGAGGACGGTGCGCTGCGACGACGAAACAAACGTATCGTAACGCGCAGAGAGAAAAAACAAGAGTTCTTCTTCTTCTTGGTCGCGTGTGAGTCGCACGCGGGGGCACGCACAGCATTTTCGGTCATTTACGGAGGAAGATAAATGTTCGTTTTACGAATATATGTATATATGTATATACATATGTATATATACACACATATATATATATATACACATAGAGTCCACGTTAATCGGTCGACTGGCTCTCATCTCTATACTATTTATCGTAGAACAACAAAGTTGGACACGGGGGAGTAAAGGGGAAGAAAAACTACACTTCCGTCGCGAGCGTCGCCGCGAGCGATGTGTCGTGCCTATAATGATCGTCTATAACGTATACCCCGCACCCGGTCTCGGCACCTCCACCGCCACCGCTACCCGGCGGACCACTGCCCCCTTCGGTGATGTTGGTCGGCCTCTTGAGCAACGCCGCTTCCGCCGCGCAACAGCTGTCCGTCGTCGCGTTACCGGCGAACACCGACGACCTCTTGGCACTCTCGATCACGCCGACACCGACGCCTATGCCGAGACCAAGGCCCAGACAATCCTTCTCCTTTTGGAAGAGGTGGGACGCCCTGTGAGCGGCCGCCTCCGTGTTCAGTTGCTTCGTCGTCCGCGTTCGCCCGTCCTGCAGCACCGGTTCTGGCTTGTAACCCGAGCAAGAGCTATCCAGCGTGACGTCCGTTTGAAACGACGAGTCGAGGTCGTCCTGTCTGGCGGACGCGACGTTGTTCACGCTCTTGTTCGCCGTCCATGTGTTCTTTATCATGTGGGCATCCCCGGTGCCTAGGGTGCACACGCTGCCCCCGCCCCCGGCGCTGATCATCCCGCTTCCGCCGCCGCCCAGGAGCCCGACGTTACCGATGCCAACTCCTTGACTTCCGCCCGACCCGACCCCCGCACCACCGCCCATTCCACCGCCTCGTTTGCTCATACTGCTGTGCACAGCGTTCCGCTCGTTCTGCAGCCTCGCCTCCTCGTCCGCTTTCGCCTGTTCCCTCTTCTGCCGCCTCTTCATGCACATCACGGCGACGGCCGCGACCAGGACGAACGCTGGCACGGCCGTGGACAACGTGGCGATCACCACCACGTGCTCGGTGGTGAGGCCTGCGTCCCTGGGCTCCGCGGACGCGGACGCCACGTGCCTCGACAGATTACCCGACCAGTAACTAGCCCCGGACGGAGGGACGGCCGGCATAGCGGCTGCCGCTGTGTTCGACGGAGCTGGCAACGCGACCGTCCCGCTTCCTATTTCCTCCGTGCAAGTGTCGCCATGCCAACCGTCCGCGCACTGGCAAAGGAACCCGTTCACACGGTTCAGGCACGTGCCGCCATTTCTGCAGGGCGCGCTTCTACACTCGTCCACGTCCACGCTACAATCCTTGCCGGTGAATCCAGGCTTGCACGCGCACCTATAATCGTTCGTTCCCGATATGCATCGGCCACCATTCGCGCACGGTTTCGTGAGGCAGTAATCCACCTTATCTTGGCATAACCGGCCCACGTATCCGGGCACGCACTGGCAACGGAACTGATTGACTAGATCGACGCAGGTTCCGCCGTTCAGGCACGGGTCGCCTTGGCAATCGTCGATGTTGGTCTCGCAGCGTTCACCGGTGAAACCAGGCGGACAAGAGCACCGAAAGCTGTTTCCCAGGTCGGTACAGGTGGCGCCGTTCGAGCACGGATTCGGTGAGCATTGGTCGAGCTGGGATTCGCAGTCGTTCCCCGTGTAACCGGGAGGACAACGGCACACGTAGCCGTGAAGGGAGTCGTCCTCGCAGCTGGCTCCGTGATGGCAGGGAGAATCTCGACAGGATCTCGAGCTGATCTCGCAGTGTCTACCTCGCCAACCTGGTGGACAGGTGCAGCGATAATGTTGCCTAGTGGACGACGACGACGACGGCGAAGTAGATGACGACGACGACGACGACGATGATGATGATGATGAGGATGATGATGAAGATGAAGAGGAGGAGGAGGAAGATTCCGATGTTTTGATCAGGCTAGAATTTCCATAGGGCGGGTCCATGGTGCACGATCCACCGTTCAGGCAGGGGTTCGAGTCGCAATCCAAAAGCGGCTTCTCGCAGTTAGTGCCGTTGAAACCTGGCGCGCACGAGCAGGTGTACAAACCCTGGCCGTTAAAGGTGTTAAAGCAGGTGCCGCCGTTCAAGCAGGGCTTGTGATTCGTGCAGTAGTTGAGGTCCTGGTTGCAGAACAGTCCGCCCCAGCCTTCGTCGCAGAGGCACTCCCAGGGTTTCTGGCAGCTACCGTGAAGGCAGCCTGGATATCTCACGCACTGGTCGCAGTACGCTCCCTTCCAACCGTTGTGGCATCTGGAACCGAGACAAGAGAGGATGTTGCTCGTTAGCTGTGCTGCTGATCGCTTTTCTTCGACTACCGACGTACACGGGGAGAAAGTAACCGTGCCACGATAACGGAGAAGGCTTTCGTTTTACCGATCGGTATATAGGGTGGACTCTTTAAAATTGCCAAAGCGGACGAGAGGGATAGATTTAATTTGAAAAAAAATTTTAAATTCTTCCTTTTTTTTTTTTTTTTTTTTTTACGAAGCAGAAAACTTTGGAGAGGAAAAGTTTCCTCTAAGAGCGAGAATCTATGATCGAAGAATATATCTGAAGATATTCTCAACCGAAGACGAATGTCAAAGACCTCGTTAAACTCGTATGAAAAATGATGGAACGTGATAGAGGACGGCGCAATAAAGAGGCAAGGAGATGGGACGAGGAGGAATCCCCGTTTCCAGGTAACCGAGCTTTATACCGGGTGACTCCGTGGAGTACACACGGCCCTCCTATGTACACGAGGCGAGAAGGCGTATGATAGATTCTAATTACTTCGATCGTTAAATACTAATCGATCCTCGACCAAGTAATTTCAGTGAATGCGATAAAAATAGGATGGTTACGGGGTCATCGTCTATCTCTCGTTCCCGATAAAATTAATCGAACTTCCCACGGTGTGTGTATATATATCATCGTTATCGTCGAATTCCCCCGTTCTTTAGAATGAAAAGGAATAATAATTCTCTCCTTTTCGTGGCGAAAAAATGATCGTACACATCGGTCGATGGTTTTTTAGGTAAAGAAGAGGTTCCGAGAAGGAGGACGAGAACGAAAAAAAGAGCGAAGGGAGGGGAAAGAAATGGCGAGCGGAACAGAACGATCGAGAAAAAGAAAGGCAGCTAGCTCGCCGTGACAAGAGGGATACGCGAAGGTGGGTAAAGGCCGATGGAGAGATGAAGAAGAGGACGACGAGAAGGAAGGTACTGCAGAAAGGAGCTGGATTCGCGACACAGGGGGAAGGGGGAAACGAGAAGGATATGGTGGTCGGCCATTACGTCCAAGGGGGTTACACTGATGTACGGAAGAAAGGACAAAGAGGTCCGTGAAAAGATAGAACAGGAACGAATATCGAAGCGAGACAGAGATATACTATGCGCATATACGTGTATCCTTCTCACACATTTATATATATTTATATATATGTTTATATATATATAGAATAGTATACACATGCATACCCAAAGAAAGAAAGAAAGAAAGAAAGAGGAAAAGGAAGAGAGAAGGGAAGAAATAGAATAAGCGAGACAGAGAGAAAAGGAGAAACCAGTCGAAAAGGAGGGAGAGAGAGAGAGAGAGGTCTCGAAGAAAGAGAAGGAAAAGGAGAGAACCGGCGACAGAGAAGGGAGGAAGAACCTTAGCCAAGAGAGACAGGAGAGGAGGTAGAATTCGAAGGAGAGTGGGGAGACGAGTCGTCGAGTTGTGTTCCCACGGTTCGAGCCTCGGCACAGCCGTTCAGTATGCGGGTCAAGGAAAGGTTACGCTCCTCTGTGTGTGCGCGCGCCTTACTCTGCCTACTAATACCCATCCGCCTCTTTCTCTCTCTTTCTATACGTATATATACAATATATATATATATATATATTTTATATATATATATAAATATATAAAAGTATATATTATATTATATATTATATATACATATACATATCGAAACGTAGAGAGAAAGAGAAGCTTAGAAAGAGCCCCGTAGCCGTCGACGTCGCATGACTATACCATTAAATCCCGTGTACACACCGAGAAACGTAATCGAGAGAGCTGTAAGAGAGCGCGTAAGAGAAAGAGGGATAGAAAGACGAGCAGCAGTGAGATGACGAGAGTGTACGAGATGGAACGAAACTGTGTCGATTGCACACGAAAGTATATGCACACACGTGTATATAATATATACATATATATATATATATATATATTTATACGCGTTACAAATTTCATAGCGATATTCTCGAAGCGATATTCTGTTTTTAGTCACAGCGGGCAAGTTTTCTTAAAGAACATGAAAAAGGAAAGGATTTCTGATGATCGAAAGAAGCACGGCTCGCTCTCTCGAACAACGAACAGTGGTCGTTCGAGCTCGAAGCGACGCAGAGAGCGGAATAAGTCGATAGAACAATCGTGTTTGGGCAATTGGATAATTATTGGCGGGATATATAGTAATTGGTATATAGTAATCGCTCGAATACCGGTATATCGGTGGGTATATTAGCGTGAATACCGGTATACGCGTTCGGAATATATCGATAAGAACTCGAAGAATAGTGGTAATATCCACGTACCGGTACTTGGAGAAATATCGTTGTATCGGGATAAAGAAGAAAGGAAAGGTCGAAGAAATTGCAAATATCGCGGAAGTATAAATTAAGAGGGAGAAAGGAGGGGGAGGAGGGGGAGAGGAGAAGGAGGAAAAGGAAGGTAGGGGAAACACGATGCACGCGGTGTGTGCATCTTCATCAATATTCAGATAGGATACGCACGCGACACCGACCATGGACTCCGAAATTTCAATGGGATAGAGCCGCGATTCTTTCACGTATCACGAATGGGGCCAACATCCCACGAGGCTCGAGAGATGGCGATTGCTTTTAGCGATCGTATCGACTATTTCCACGCATACGGTTACGCAACCAGAAAACAGATTACCCTTTGTCCACGTAATACTATCGCTATTTATTCTACACTACTACCTTCCTTCCAATCTCCTTCCAATCTTCCTTTCGGAATCGTTACGTTATTTCCAACGATTATTCGATAAAAAAAAAAATTAAAAAATTCGTCAAATTCCTGTTCTCTCTCCTCTCGAGTTATTCCATTAAGGAAGATATACCTACGCGCAACGCGTTCAATTGAAAAAATCCTCGAGCAGACCTCGAGTAACCGACCCCGCCGCTGCTACTCGTTTCGCAACAGGTTTTTCCCCAGACGCGAAAACCGATCCTCCTCCTCCCCCTCCCCCTCCCTCCTTATCCTATACAGCAGACGAAGTTGCTTAGGAGCTGCAACAAAAGTCGCAGAAACGTTGCACGTTCGACGATATTCGACGAACAATTTATTACGAGGCGACACTCCGCCGTTGTTTATTTACGCGTCTAAGGTATGCCCATAAATTCCTGAACGTCTGGGACATTTAAAAGACGCGCCACGGCGAAAGAGGTTTGGACGGATGCCTCGTCTATTTTCGAAAATATTATTTTTCCGCGAGAATTGGAAATCGGATGGAAAAAAAAAAGAAAATTTGATGATGATGATTAATGATAATTTAATGATAAATTAATGATAATTTAATGATGATAATGATGATGGTATCGGTGAGGAGAAGTTTGAATGCCTCGTCTATTTTCGAAAATATTATTTCTCCGCGAGAATTGGAAATCGGATGGAAAAAAGGAAAAAAAATTTCATGATGATGATAATGACAATGATATCGGTAAGGAGAGGTTTGAATGTCTCGTCTATTTTCAAAATATTATTTTTCCGCGAGAATTGGAAATCGGATGGAAAAAAAAGTTTGATGATGATGATTAATGATAATTTGATGATGATAATGATGATCGGTAAGGAGAAGTTTGAATGCCTCGTCTATTTTCGAAAATATTATTTCTCCGCGAGAATTGGAAATCGGATGGAAAAAAGAAAAAAAATTTGATGATGATGATAATGACGATAAAGAAAGATTTGGATGCCTCGTTTATTTTCGAAAATATTATTTTTCCGTGAGAATTGGAAATCGGATGGAAAAAAAAAATTTGATGATGATGATAATGACGATGATAATGATAATGACGATGATGTTGACGAGGAAAAGTTTGAATATCTCGTTTATTTTCAAAAATATTATTTCTCCGCGAGAATTGAAAATCGGATGGAAAAAAAAAAATTTGATGATGATGATGATGATAATGACGATAGTATCGATAAAGAAAGATTTGGATGCCTCGTTTATTTTCGAAAATATTATTTTTCCGCGAGAATTGGAAATTGGATGGAAAAAAAAAAGTTTGATGATGATGATGATAATGACGATGATGTTGACGAGGAAAAGTTTGAATACCTCGTTTATTTTCGAAAATATTATTTCTCCGCGAGAATTGAAAATCGGATGGAAAAAAAAAAATTGATGATGATGATGATGATAATGACGATAATATCGGTGAGGAGAGGTTTAGATGCTTCATCTATTTTCGAAAATATTATTTCTCCGTGAGAATTAGAAATCGAATGGAAAAAAAAAAATTGATGATGATGATGATAATGATGTCGACGAAGAGAGCTTTGAATATCTCGTCTATTTTCGAAAATATTATTTCTCCGCGAGAATTGGAAATCTGATGGAAAAAAAAAAAAAAAGTTTGATGATGATGATGATGATAATGACGATGATGTCGGCGAGGAGAAAACATGGATCTAGTCGGAGGGAACTCGACTGGACGGCTGCGGCTAACGGGACAATTAACCCCGGTCTCGTGCAGTAATTAGATGATCGAGTTAACTCTAAACCTCGGGTTAACGTCGGACCGAGATTCGTGTCCCATGCGGAGAAACGGAGAATAGGAATTATCGCGGAACATCTCTACTGTCTATCTAAACTCAAGCCCCGATGTTCTAAATTCAAAGCTGTGCCGAGGGCACAGTTGATTTTCGATCAACAGTTTGGCCGTAATCGACGCATGCGTCCTCTCACGATTCTTTTAAGAATATTGCTGACGCAACTGTTGCGCGTTTTTGTCTTCGGAAATGCGATCGAAATTTTCTTCCCATTTTCGAATCTAATTCCTCCTCGATCGTCAAAAACTCCGATCGAACGAATTCCCCGTCGAAATCAAGCGAAAATCATTCAAATCTGCCTTTTTTCCATCAAACGCCGACAAAGAGTTAAAAGCGCAGGGTGAGAAGAAGACTTCTTCCAGACTCGGCCGGGGGAAAAAATTCTGAAAGAACAGAGGGTTCCTCGAGGCAGGAGCGTATTTATAGATCAGGATTCCCGGCAAATACAGAAATTCTTTGACTTTTCGATCTCTGACTTTTGGTCACGGTACTCGTTTTTCGACTGGTCGCAATCGAATTAGAATAGGTTCGACGACTTCGCGAGAACGTAGAAGGAAAAAAAGAAAAAGAAAAGAAAAATTGGGGAAAAGAGTGGAGGGAAAAGAAATCGAGTCGATTGGAAATGCACGATCCGGTAGCCGATCCTCTCGTTAAGGAGGGAAGAAACCAGTCGGCCGCCTCGAGAATTCCTGCTCGTCCTCTTCGACCCCTGACGATCATCGCGCACGACGCCCGCCTTCCTTCTCTTCGCTGTGAAATCACCGGTGAAACAGGAACCGAGGGGGAATCGCAACACCCGGAAACGAGTTCCACCCGATGATATTCTAATCGCGCGCTCGATCCGATCCGAGTGTAAAGGAAAATCGAATGGCGCGAACCCGATCTTGGAAACCGATAGCGGTTATGCTAATAGAAATACCCGATTAATCGAAGAAGAATATTAATTTCCATTTTAAGCGCGTGTATAAATGTTCCGAGTCATTTTAAACTTGCGGTTCTGTTCAAAATAATAAAAAAAAAAAAAAAAAGAAAATGCATCGATTGATCGATCGACGATACTCGGTAAAAGTTTGGACAATTAAATGGATAATTGACGAGTGACGAGAATCTTAATTTAATTTTCCTCGAAAAAAAAAAAAAAGATACGAAACCGAAGATTCTCACGGTGGAGCAATTAGAGGCCGGATCATCGATCGCGTTACACTCATTAACGATCGACTTTCGCGGGAAGCTCGTTTATCGAGGCGTCGTTTATTAATGCGGCACGAGTATGATACAACGCGTACTGGTATCGCGAATCAGGAATGTATATTAGAGGAAAAGAGGAAGAAAAAGAGCGAGCAGACGTGGAAGAAGGAGGAGGAGGAGGAGAAGAAGAAGAAGTAGTTTAGTTGCTATACGTACTTACACTTACATTATCATGAAGGAGGGAAAGAAGAGAAAGAAAGAGCGAGAGAAAGAAATATGGTGAATTATATATATATATGTATATATATATATGCGTATACTCACAAGCATTCGTCGGGTCGATTGCAGTGTCCGTGCTGCTCGTCGCATCCGGGCAGGCAGCGGGCTGAAACGAGTAAGAAAAAATCTAAAAGGTTAAGGCAACTCTCCGCAAGAGGTCGATCGCGTCCCTCACGACTGCACGAGCGGTACCATACGATGCATCCCGATGCATTCCACTGGTATAGGTAGTCGGGAGAACTCGATAATTCAACGAGCTTGCTCTCTTCTTTCTCTCTCTCTCTGTGTCGTCGTTAATCGAATCGTTAAATTGGCTCGGCCGGAAAATCGATTTGACGCTTTTCGGGTATACGCAATAATGGAGAAATTGTTTCGAGGGAGAGGCAGCAGCAAATGGGATTGGTTTAACACGAAAACAAATTATTATGCATGAAATCTTGCTTTCTTTGGAAAATTGGTCTGGATTGAGAGGGAATTTTTATCCCCTTGATAATCCCCTGAATAATCGCTACGAAATGATTAGAATTTGATTGGATGATCAACAAGTATTCGAAAACAGAGATGTGCGCATCCTCCTTTGAGCAGCAACACTAGCGCCACGATGTATTCATCTTCCGAACCCCGAAAAAAGGAGTCCAATTTATGGACACGAAAGTATCGTTCACACCTCGAATACCCGATCGGACGGAATCGTCTAATTAAAATTTATGTCATATATACCACGAATCGTTCCCGTTTTCCGGGAATCCTGGATGGGAAAGGAGTCTGACCGCACGATTCCTTGCATAGCTGCACGTAGTTGTGAACGATACGTCGCCGAGCGCTCGGTCGCTCGAGCGCGTGCTCGCGCGCTCTCGCGGTCGCGTCCCACAAGGATGATAAAATTGTGTCACGTGTGAAGATTCTTATCTTACGGTCGTGAACGAGCCACTAACAGCTTGCTAATTGATCAATTTCACCTCTTTTTACAAAAATCGTTCTCGAGATATTTCCACTTTCATCGATAATATCGATAATAAAAGAAAAAAAAAAAAAAAAAAAACGTAAATAGAAATTGAACGAAGCGAAGCAAGCAAGATTGATAGAAAACATGCTACGACGAAAGTTTAAATGATTAAATTTCACGGAAGGTTTATATTTAACAAACGAATGTCGCGAATGAATATAATTTCCTATTTTTAAAAGGAAACGTGTATACAGTTATAATAACTTAATGTCGTACGACTCGAAACAATTCCGCCATGCGTGTACTCGTAACGAAATTCGGATGGTAAATTAGAAGAGGAAAGGGAGAGAAAGATTGTCGGCATAGCAGCACACGCCAGCCAGCAAGGGTAATGAAATTGTGTCACGTGTCGAGCAGCTTGTCCAGTCCGCAAATATATCCAAAGTCTTTCAGTTGGCTGCCAGCCACCGGTTCGGTTACGTATACACGTTCCACGAGTATATAGACCGCGAATGTCCACGTTACCATGTCAAGACACGAGATGATCTCTACTCATCCATCCAAAGGTATTCACCTTGATCGGTGCTTTTGCCTCATTGTTACTGTACTCCCTCCTACTATACCGCACTCCCATCTTGCGCCTTAAAAACGAAACATTCCTATTCCTTGGAATACGCTCTGTCCTGTATTTGCGACAGAGATATGCATTACGACTATACTCTACGTAAAAACTTTTCTCTATTGCAACAAATCTCCTCGATCTCCCCGAGGGAAAGAACGAACAAAAACCGTGAAATCAATCGAATCTAAGACATAAGAAGACATAAGGTGAAAGAAACTCGGTCGTTTCATTGAATGAAGGGGTTGAAGGTGGCTCGTATGATAGAAAAGGTGAACTTTGTCCATAGTGCGGCGGGGGCTACGGAGAGGCCGGGAGAGGGCCGATGGGGGCCGCGTGACCTTGGCACCGAGCGCAACGGCCCACGAAGCCGGCTCGCTCTCTCTCTCTCTCTCTTTCTCCCTCTCTCCCCACGGTGCTCTCTCGCCACCAGTCTCGACGCGCTAAGGAGCGTATGGTATTTATAGAGTGGAGAACCGAGTGAGGAACGAGTCTCGAGTTTGGCCGGTCGATCCCGCGGGACTGCGCGCCGAAAGGAACGGGCGAATCGCGCGGATTCCACGGGCTTAGGAAAAAAGAAGAATCGAAGGAGGGAGGGAAGGAGGGAGGATTGAGAGAAAAGAAAAAGAGAGAAAGAAAGAGAGTGGAAGGAGAAGGATCGGTTTCGATGGAAACCGAATGTTCCTGAATTAAACTGCGGGATTACGGCAACGTCTGACGCCGAGTTTATACTTGGATTGGACGGCGTTGTGTGGCGTTGCTATGTGGTAATCTCTGGGAGGGAAGTACCCATTCCACCATCAGCTGATTCGAAACCGAATCGCAACTCTCTTTGCGATTTTCGAATAAATATTTATTCTCCCATTATATTTATAACGGACGCGTAACATTTTCTAAACATCACACGATAATTTACTCGCAGGAGGGAAGAAGCTTGAATAGCTTAAAACTTAAACGTCCCAGATCCACGAGTAGCATATATCCAACGGACAATAGGCAGTTTGACACCACCAGCTGATCGGGGAAACCGCAAGCTGCGGCACGCAAACGAGGAAACCCTTACTCGAGCAATTCCTCCACTATACCTTTGAACGCAAGGTTATTTCCCTTTAAATGTCCACCAAATACCTTCCTCCAACAATGAATTTCACGGCTCGCGTGGCCAACGTTATCCATCGATTTTCCCTTTCCTTTTCCTCCTTTTGAACCGCCCGCCTGACCTTTCGTGGAACCTAACCTACCTCTCGTCTCCCTACCTGACGCAGTACCTCGCTTCGTACAATACGACCCCCTTCGTGACACAAAGAACACACCGAGATCGTAGAGAGGAAAAATCCAAGAATTTCGTCGTGCACAGGTAGCTTCCTCTACCTGGTGGGGGTTGGTGGTAAGTAACCGAGGCGAAAAAATAGGGGAGGGGGGAGGTGAGAAGAGGAGGAAGACGGTGGAAAAATGCAAGAGCGACGGGGGAGGGAGGGAGGGAGAATGGGTGGTGGAGGGGGAGAGGGGTTGAAATGGAAGCGGACTGCGAACGCGAGGCCGGTGCAGCTGTTGGTTAAAGCACCGACCTCTGTGCAGCTGTCGGGGGCCCACTCGGCCTCTTTCGGCTTGTTTCGCCCGCTCGTGTTGCAGCTGCCTCCGCAACAACCCCTGTAACACGTCCAGGCACCCCCGAAAATGCGCTTTCTTCCCCTGCTACCCCTTCCCTTCCCTCGTCAACCCCTTCTTTTGCAGGACGATCGGGATCCTCGTGCCCTCGTGGGCCGATTAAACCGTTCATCCAATTTTATCTAAGCGTTTTCTTTCCTCGTTTCGAATTTCAATCTCCCTCGATATTTTTCGTTCTGGAGAAAAAAAAAGAAATAATCAAAATTCCTTCGAAGAGAGAGAGGATGATAGAAGAGAAAGGGGGGAGGGAGGGTCGACATTTTTCCGCTAAGACATACTTTTTTTTTTTTTTTTTTTTTTNTTTTTTTTTTTTTTTCCCCCTTTCGAAAGCAGCACACCGGGTCACCTGAGCAAACTGTGCACCGAGTGTACACACACGCTCTCGCCATTTCTAGAAACATAACCCCCTTCCCCCCTCTCCCTACTGAATCCCGTTCTCACGAGAACCCCGCAAGTTCGCAAGACGCAAGTTCAATCCCAATACACTCGATCTTTGGAATATTCCTTCTAACCCATCGAATTAAGGAAATCTAAGGAATGGAAATTCGAAATCGAATATATATATATATAAAAATTGGGAGGTGGAACAGACGTCGAATCGCAACAATGGCCCATTCTCGGCGGTCGAGGAGGAGGCGGGGGAGGAGCAGCAGGGAGGCGGCGAAAATGCTGGAAACTGGGCGGCGTGGGCGCGGGAGAGCTCGCGTGAGAAAAGATCGACCACCTCGCGTTTTCTTCACCGACGAGGAGGACGACGAGGAGGAGGAGGAGGAGGAGGAGGAGGAGGAGGGCTCGATCTCTCCCCCCTTTCTCGCTTCCTATTTCCACGAATGGCCGCCAATGTAACGAAACGAGGTGTAAGCAGTCTATTAGTAATCGATGCGCGGAGCAAAGTTTGTCGAGCGGCCGAGTGCAACGACCGATCGACGACCGCCGTGGAAACACACCTGGAGCGACCCTGTCCACTCTGTCCTCCACTTTCGATTCCTCCAACACCGATAAACCCGAACTCCAAGCCTCCTCTCGAGTCAATTCGATCGTTACAGATTTTAGATTTCTTATAGTCACCGTTCCTCTGATAATATATTTCGATGACAAACGAAAATATATATAAATCAGAAGGACGAGTTTCACCCTCGAGATTGCGAAAAATCGGGAAAGGAAAAGTCAACCCGCCAAGGAGGCATCCAGGGACACGAGGCTCGATCGAGAGTCGTCCCGTTCCTCGTCCTGCCGTGTGTACGTACGTGTGCGGCGAGGAGGACGAGGAGAGGCTTGAGAACACGCGAGAGAACGACCGAAAGTAACCACACACGTTGGAAGAGGGAGCGCGTTTCGTACGCGCACGCGGAAAGTAGACGGTGGTGAGGTTGCTTGTACACGTACAGATTAATCCTGAGAGAAGGAGCCTCTCAGAAGAGGTGTGTGTGTGTGTGTATATACGTATATATATATATATATACATACATATATATATACGTAAGAGAGACGGATAGACAGCAGATACGGATATAACGAGAGAAGAAGGGGGAGAGAGAGAGAGAGAGAGGTGTATATACATAGGAGAGACGGAGAGAGGGAAGGCGTGAGCGCGCGCGCGCGCGCGAGCCAAGCGTGGGAAGCTGGTGCACGCTCGGACCCGACACTGCACCGACACTGCACCGGGCCTCTCCTTCGTGGACTCGTCGAGTTTGTCGAGTTTCGTGCTACGAACGAGAATAGAGAGAACGCTGCTGTATACAGGCCGGCTAACGTCCTGGAATGAACGTTATATAAGCGAGGAGGGGGGCAACGATTTCTTGGATTCCTTCGAGACAATTTTTCTGGAAATTATGCCACGCTTTGTTTATTATTACACCACGTCCCGCGGTTACGTTGGAATCGATCGATATTTTGTGTACACGTTGCGTTCGAGGTTTCTACTCGAATTAATTAATTAATCAATTATTTATTATTTTTTATAATAAATAAATAATAATAATAAATATTTGTTATAATAATTATATTATAATTATAATTATAATTATATTATAATAATAATAATAAATAAAATAATAGTAATAAATATTTATTGTTTTTTATCGGGCAATTTTTTTAGAGAGTAATGTAGTTAAAAATAGAGTCACTTTAAATAATTAAAATATAGAATAACATTTATACTGTCGATCGAATTAATTTTTATTCCCAAGGAAAATCCTAAATTCGACAGTCTCTCCGGTTACCGTGTTGAAATACGGTATAAATTACGCTGCACGGGACAAGGGATGAACAGAGAGAGAGAGAGAGAGAGAGATCTCGTCTCTGTAATTTCATACACGGAATTCCTACAAAAGGAGGGATGTCACGCGTGGTGCAGTCGCGATGGGAAGCGTGGGAGTGCACGCACATATTACGTGCATACGATAATAGACGTTGGAAGAAGAAGAAGAAGAAGAAGAAGAAGAAGAAAGAAAAAAGGAGGAGACTTACGGGTATTGCAGTAGTCGCCCTTCCATCCAGAGAGGCATACGCGCTCCCCGCTCGGGCTACAGCTGTAATGACCAAAGTTGTCGTCCCTCGGCCTGCACAGGTTCTCGCAACCCTTCCCGTAATAATGCGCCACGCAAGTCACCCTGTACTCGTACACCATCTTCGAGTGCGCGCTCCTGTACTCGTCCTCGGTCCAATTTGGCCCGACGTCCAACCACTTTTGCGTAGTCAGCCTGGTTATCAACACTTTCTCTGAAATAATTGGCAAAATTGTGTCTCCTGTTAATATTCAAATCCTTTTCTTTTTTTTTCTAATAATTATAAATATATTTATTTAAATTATTTAAATAATTTAAATTATATAAATAAAATTAGATATTATTATATTATATCTAAATAAAATTATATATAAATATTATATTATATATAAATAAAATTAGATTAGATATCTTTTTAACGAATTATTTAAATAATTTAAATTATATAAATAAAATTAGATATTATTATATTATATCTAAATAAAATTATATATAAATATTATATTATACATAAATAAAATTAGATATAAATAAAATTAGATTAGATATCTTTTTAACGAATTACGAAGGTAATATAAACGGAAAAGGAGGATTAATTTTATTTTCAATATACGCAGAGATATATATTCTGAAAAGGTCAATTAATCGGTCCGCTCGATTTACAGAGAGAGAGAGAGAGAGAGAGAGAGAGATTCGCTTCAATTGATACGTGGGTACAATTAACTCCTCCGTTTCACCGGATTGAAATCAATTCCAATTTATCACCCATTGACTCCGACACGTTCGCGATGTCACCGTCTCCCCCACAATCATCCCCAACAATACCACCCTCGTGTATTCTCTCACGATACATACACAACACAAACGAGCCAATATAAAGAACAATAATCGAAATAAATACGATCTTTCTCGAATTAATTGCTCGAAGAATAATTTAACAAAATTCCACTCTGTCCTTCCCTCAAAAATCCCACAAAAGAAGAACGTTTTCTCGTCGATCATTCCGATCGATCGATCGATCGATCCGTCCCGTGCGGAGGAAAAAAGGGGAGGAAGAGGAGGCGAGACGCGAAAAGCAATTAAGCATGTCCATCAGTAGGGCACAACACAGAGGAAGGCGGCCGTGGTGCTGCGCCCAATGATGCGATCGAAGTGCATCGGCCTCCAGCGAGAGCGCGAGCGAGAGAGAGATAGATAGGGAAGGAGGCGGGGAGGGAGGGAGGGAGGGAGGGAGGGCAGACCGGACGTTCGTCCGCTATTGCTACTCCGCCGGCGGCACGCATCCGGCACAAAGAGAGTAAGCGTATACCACCGCGTTGCGGGGCCTCTCTGGGAAAGAGGCGTTCTTCTTTTCTTCTCCCTCCTCCCCCTCTCCTGCACCGCGCCTAAGAGAACTATACACCGCACATCCTCCCTCTTCCTTTCCCTACAATGTATCTCCACCTCTCCTCTCGATTCGCCCATTCGTCCTGGACGATCTTATTTATCCTCTCCTTCTTTTTTTTGTTTTCCTCTCTCTTTCGAAACAAATGTTTCCAACTTCGCATATGTATACACTTGTTCCTTTCCATTGGCTGTCTTCGTTGTTTTCGCAAAACAAAGTAGAAGAGAAGATACGAGAGAGAGAGAGAGAGAGAGAGAGAGAGAGAGAGAGAGAGAGAGAGAGAGAGAGACTTCCTGTTAAACGTATTATCGTAATGGGGGGAGGAGGAGGGGGAGACAGATTAGAAGGTTCGATCAGGTGGAGGGCGAACGACGAAAAAGAAGCGTCTCACGATGGCATCAAGGGCGCAGGCCAACCCAGCCTGTCGGACCAGTTTACCCCAGTGTGCGTGCGAGAGTCTCATGGCAAATGGGTCGAGCGCGGCGATGTTGTATCGTGGTGCTGTATGGTTTATATACATTGTGGTCGGTAGCGTAAGGAAGAGTTAAGTGGTCAGCCTCCGTGTTCTCCGCTCCTTTTTTCCCTTTCCCCCTTTTTACTACTACGGTTTCGGTGCTTCCCCCCTTCCCAGATGATCCTCTAATGAACGGTTCACTCGGGGATCTCGCCCGCGAGAGATCGCCGGAGGTCTATTTTTGAAGCACAATTTTCAGAGTTGTCGATTTCTCTCTCTCTCTCTCTCTCTCTCTCTCGAGTTACGTTTCGGAATCTTCGAGAAATCTATCGAAAGAGGATGGATCCCTCGCGAAGGTCACGATTATAAATATTTTGCTTGTTACGTGGAAAAGCGGCAGGTGCCAGTCCTTTCTTTCTTTCTTTTTTTTTTTTTTTCGAGCGATAAACGCTCGATATGAAACATGAGTCGCGCGCTCGTAAGAGGATCTCGTATATTCCCCCTCCCCTCCCTCTTAGAATCGGTCGAATTCGGCCGATTTCCTTCCCTTTGAAGCTACCGAAAAAAAAAGCATAAGCAATAAATAGTGACAAAGAAATAAAATATATACACACACATACGTAGGAAGAATTAAAAATGGAAGAAGAAATAGAAGAAGAACTGGTGGTAAAGTAATATAGGGATAGAAGAAAGATCGATAACGTTGATCTTCAAGGAGAAGAAAAAGAACGTAGAGAGCGAGAGAGAGAGAGAGAGAAAGAAGAAGAGTAGAAACAAAAGGACGAAACGCGAGGATTCGCCGATGGCGTGCTCGACGATACTTAAACAGGATACCCAAGGCTCCTCTCCTCTTCCCAGAAGGGAAGTAACGTTTCGCTGTCGGCGAAACGGGAGTCGAGGGAGAGGCAGTTTACCAAGCCTATCTTCCCAGGTGATGCTGTTACGAGTTCTGAAAACGCCGATGTTCGCACGCCACCGCCGCAGATGGACGTGTGTACGCGCGATCGACTTCGTTTCGCCCTCGTCCTTCGTTTTTCGGGATCGATTCGCACGGCTCGATGCGCTCTCCGTTTCCACTCGCCTCCTCCGCTTCTTCTCTCTCTCTTTCTTTCTTTTTTTTTTTTTTTTTTTAATAATAGATTGATACGAAGAAGAAACGGTTCTTAAGCGGTCTGTTTACGATGAAAAATCGTATCGAGGAACAACTGATTTCCTGGACTTCGTTAACTTCGAGAAATTCCCTATTGTTTTCCACGTGTAAGCGTGGATTTTGCTCATGCATTAAACATACACACTTCCATTAAAACGGAATTATTCATGCTCGTGCGCATGCGTTCCTGCCCGCGAATCAACGCACCGGAAATCGGATACGCTGGGCCCCCGACAAATATTACTTCGAATCCGTAATCCCTGATCCCTGGTCTATTGTGAAAAAAAGTTTCGTTTCGAATATAAGAAAAAAAAAGGAAAGGAAAAAATAGTTCAAACAATTTAGGAGGGAGACGATCGAGAAATCCAAGTCTCGAGTCGATCGAGTTTCTCCCATGACCAGACTTAACGCGGCGGCTTCCTCCACGAGGCCGAGGCGTTATTCCGGTCGAAACGCAGCCGAGTCGCTCCTCAGGCGTGGAACGGCTGCGTGTGCACCTGTAAAACGCCCGGTGAACTCGAGGCCAGGCCGATTCAAGGTATTCATTAACGACGCGGCGGCAGCGCCGCGAGTAGCCAGACATTTTCTATTGTTCATTCAGAAACGAGCGGCCGTCGAAGGATAGCCCCGAGCCTGGCAGGTAGCCAGATGCATTACTCAACTACCGTGGCTCCTCCATCGCGGAAAAAACTCTCCTAACCCGGATATCAACGCGTCACGTGGGTCACGACGATGCCTCCTATTGGTCGCCCATATATATATATATATATATATATATATACATATACATATACATATACATATATGTATGTACATCGATAGAAATTGAATTATGTGTTTTAACGCGTCTTTCTCGTCCGCGGTTTTCGACGAGATTAAAATCGTATTATAAACTGCTCGATCGTAATCGAGTAGTTGTAAGTTGAGAACTAGCCACGGTGATCATCATTGCGGCGATTTAACTATTTGCATCGTGCACGGTTTCATTGCGGTTTCGCCCGTTAGAGGTTATGTTATGTTACGTTATGTTGTTTCCAAGTTGCACGGTGAGATCGTATTCGCGATACATTTTCAACTCGAGCCTTCTTTTAAAGAATGTCGTCCCGACAAGCAATAAATTTTTAAAGTTATCCATCGAAATGTTTATAAATCGTACGTTATATGCGATAACCACCTGACAAGTTTTAAGTATCACTGATTAAATTAATCGCCGAAGGGCGATTCTTCTCAACAATGTAGACATTTATCTGCGAGTTTACGATTTAGAAATTAAACAATCGGAAAGGCAAAGAGGAATCTCGAATGACGAATTCGTAATCAATCTTTCCGTTATTAAAGAGCTTCTGAAATTTAATTTCGCGTCGTGATACGCTTCTTCGTTCCATTTATTAATTTATTCTCGTAAAATTTTACTCTATTAAGATTAGCGTTGCGTAAGTCAACGGTTCGGTCGGTTTTCGGTTACCACGTGGCCACCCTCTGTTAAACCACACACCCTGGAACTTCTAAGTCATCCGGCCTTCTATGAAGCCGAGAATTGAATGAGATTTATGAATGAAAGACACGGCAGAATTCTTCGATTCTTGAAACCTTACATCGAACTATATACATATATATATATATATAAAAGTCGGGAAGCATTGGATTAAAATTTCAATAATGACCGAAACAAAAAAAAATCCTACGTTCGTCTATTACTATTCAGATCTACTCTCTCCACAGACATTATTATACGTTCGAGTTAATTTTTCGATGTACATCCCTCCTCCCCCTTCCCCGTTCGATTCGACGAATTACCAGGTTCCCGGAACGGTCAAGCGTTATCACGGCGGGAACATGCGCGCGACAGCGGTCCAATTACTCCGCTCGCTCATTATCGTTCGGCTGTGGAATGGCAGGTGCGCCGTGAGGAACGCGCACGCCGTGCACACGCGGCCGCGTGCACACACACGCCCGTGTCCCTTCACCCAAAAGGGAAAAGCGGCGGAGAGCGGTTGACAATCGGCGATGACGTAAGCGTTCTCTCCTCCTCACCGCTCGCTACGGATTCCCGTTCAAGCTGCTCTTGTATACTTATATACACACAACAGTCGAACACCGCAGCAACCGTCGTAAATCCGGCCGCGTCTCGTTTCGTTTAACGAACCGCGGTTACCGCAAATGAGGCCTATCTGTTTCCCCCTCTCCTTCCTCCCTAGTGACGGAAAAGCGGAGGAGGAGGAGAAGTGAGAATCGCGTTACGCGCGAAACGTGATAGAGGCTTCTCACTTATTATAAGTTAAGTTTGGAGAAAACATTTAAAGTTTTCGATAAAAATAGTTGGTCGTATAACAGAATTCTCTCTAAACACGACGCGTTATTATTTACGCGTTTACTTTCACGTGTTATTTCCCTTAATGGATTGACCACGTTCTCCCACCACGGTTGGAAACGGAACCAGAAATAATTCGAAGCGATAATTCGTGGCGCAGGTGCGGTCCTCTCCCGAGAGGCGAACCGCGCGCGCGGTGTGTTGTGTATCTTCGGCTTATGGGATCGTGTGGCGCGGAGTGGAAGAGGGACAAGGACAGATCGATACCGCGCGGACGAGTGAGGGAGCGAGACGGAGGAGGCGAGCGTCGGGCCTGAGAAAGGAAGCAGCATCCGAGCAGCGCGAACAGCAATAAAGGGCTCGTTTCACCAGCGCTTGTTGGGGGGCATTATTATTGTGCGCGGAGCGGCCGATACACGACTGTGGCGCATACAGAAATTCGAGGCACAATATGAGACGGTGTGCGTTTCGGCGATAAAGAGGCTTGGAGTGGGGAGGGAGGGGAGTATATGTCGAAACACACGAGGAACCGGCGGACAAAACGCGCGTGGTACTATATTAATGGGAGAGGAGACGTTAACGGCCGCGTTCCGTCCTCTTTCTCTCCTCCATCCGTCTCTTCTCCTCCTGTCTCTTTTCAGCCGCGGATGCGCGCCGGGCAGGTACATCTGTGGGATAACGGTAGGAATTCCGTTCTCGGGCCGAGCTTGAAACAAAGGAAGCCAAGCTCGATTCCCTTCGTAATTAGCCGCTTCGACGGGGATCGAGAAGAGAGTTTTTCTGAAGCGTGGCGCGGCTTGCCTTCGTGAGACTAGGAAGCTTCGCTCGGAGAACCGGAAGAAATTTAATTAAAAAGTCGGAGGAAACGACTTGTGGCTCGGGGAAGAGCTACCACTATATGCAGTTCGAGATGTTGTAATTTGAATACAAGATCAGGTAAATTCGGTAGAATTAAAATTTCGTGTAAAAAATAATTAATTGGAACAGGAAACTCGGAGATATACTATTAAAACAGCAACAATGTATTATTACGACAAACAACTATAACCATCAATTCTGTCTTACTGACCCTAAAATATTTCTCAGCTACACGTTGATCGAAAGAGGCTCGTAGTAAGAAGAGCGAGACCGCTTAATTTCTTTCCCGAGGTCCTGTGTGCGTCTGGCTGGCAATTAGAATGAACCGGAGACCGGAAGCTATACGTGGCCGTGCAACGCTCTCATGCGTGGCGCTCAACTGTGTGCGCGGCAACTTGTATACGTGTATACAACCACACTCTTAACCTTATGCGCTCCTTGGATCACGCCTGGATGATAATTGTGAATTTATTTTCGTTATTTTCGGGGCTCACCGCTTCGACCGCTTAATTCACCTTTATCTCTCGCCGATCTGTCTGAGCTTTCCCCGGATACGGAAGCTATAAACAGCCCCGCTTCGTTCTCGTCCTGCTTATTTGCATACGTGTTTTCCGATTTAACGAGAGAATATCGTGTCTCGTAACCGTACGACGATCATCATCGGGCGTTAAATTAAAATGCGATTATCGAAAGATCTCTCTATTAATTGGCAGAAATAATAAAATATACTCGTATTCGATTATTTTTTCTTTTCTTTTCGATCTTTTCGATAGTTATACTATATTCGAAATTTATACAACTATCGAAACATCTTTTATCGATAAATTTTACGTTTTTTTTGTGATCCAATAATGATTAAAATTCAACGATTCTCGAGATCCATCTATCACAACATCTCCACAAGTTTTAACGTTTCTTTTACACTTTTTTGGATCAATAATGGCTAAAGAACCCGGTTCTCTGAGATTTGTTCGAAAGGAAGATCCGATGAAAGCGGGTTTAAAGGGTGCAGAGAACGAAATATCGGCTGGCACAGAGGAGAGGAGTTCGATAGACGAGGAGATGGTGCACACATAGGATACGTCCATACCAGAGGGTTTCGTGTTACCGTGGCGCGTTGCTGGAAGCTAGGTGCTACGGTTACACAGGAAGGAAACACTAGCGCCTCCGGCCGCTTCTCTTTCCCTCGTTCCGTCCGTTCTCTCCGTACATACACGTACACGCCTCACTATATGACGCAACGAAAAGCGCCGGGCCGACCACTTTGTCCACGTGGACGCAAGGAAACGCTATTGAAAACAGGGTCGAGAACGATCGAAAAAGCAATTAAAATTATCGATAAAATACCACGACACGACATAATTTTAATTTTTGAGATGAAAAAAATCGTTCTTAAAACACGATTAAATTTTTCCATCCTGATATAATTTCTGAATAAAAATCGATCCTTTCGACTCCATCCATCGTGATAATCGTCATAATGATCATCTCACGAATCTCTTCGTTCCATCCATTCTCCTCCTCCACTTGCGTTTCCCATCCATAAGCAATCGAGAAGGAAAAAAAAAAAAAAGGGAACCGGTTAACCGGGAACTGGAACCGCAGCATCCAGAAAAAAGCAACAATATTTGTCCGGGGAGAGTGGAGGGGGGCAACAGGAAGCGACTTGTCCCTGGCGGAGGTTTGGCCGCGATCGAATTTGGACGAGAGAGAAGGAGAGCACCTATAGAGAAGTAGGAGGAAGAAGGTTTAGAACGAGGTTACGTTTCTGGTGAGTGTCGTGGCACAGGGACCGGAAGTGGGTTCTCGTGCTGGACGTGCATGGCATACGATGATCCAGCTGGACTGCACATGCCCGAGAACCTTCTCTCCTTCTCAAATCTTCCTCGTATTTAGTGGTACAGGAGAGAGGACTAATTTTAAAATATCATCCTTCCTCTTCTTCTTCTCCCTCCTTTCTCCTCTTCCTCCTTCCTCCTCTTCCTCGTTCTTCCTTCTTCTTTTTTTTTTCCCCTTTTTTTTCCCCCCTCCCATTCGAAGCGCGTGCGAGCGTACTCGTGCCGCACACGCGGCAGTTATAACACGCTACAGAGGCAGGCTTGCAGAGAAGAAGAGATACTGGCGGGGCAGCGGATTCTTCGGTGTGGTTTAATAAAGGAAGAGAGAAAAAGAGAGAGAGAGAGAGAGAGAGAGAGAGAGAGAGAGAGAGAGAGAAGGGTGGAAAAGGTTACTTACCGCTCGAGTGTTGTGTCGTGTTGTCTGCGTCGTGATAAGCCTCCACTATCAGCGAGAATGTGCCCTGGGAACAGAGAGAGAGAGGAGGTTGGTGAACTTCGATCAGACGCCAGCCTTAATCCTATTTACTACACTAATCTTAACCGCTACACCCTCTCGTTCTTATACCATTAACCCTTTTCTCCATGGAGGAGATATCTCCTCTCCGAGATGTCTTTTATAGAACGATTTCTCTTTTTTTTTTTTTTTCCATAGAATTCTCTTTCCCCCTTTCAATTCGTCTCTCGAGCGTTCGATAACAAATAATAATAACAATAAGAATGATAATAATAATAATAACAATAAGAATGATAATAATAATAATAATCGAAAATCCAGGCGAAAATTTCACTCTTCCCTATAAAAAAAAGAAGATATCCGGGGGGATAGGCGTACACACGGAAGGATAAAATTCGTGAAACGTGTCCCCGTTTCGATGCGCAAAAGCGAGGCAGCTGCGCGTGCCAATTGCGTCACGCAATTAACAATAAATTAAACGTTCCATAGGCGGCGGGCTGCGTCACGTGCGCACCTGCCACGCATTAGAGGGGTGCATGTCCTTTGGCGAAGCGTGTCTAAAATGGCGGCACGAGGGGGGGGGGGAGGGGCGGCGGCGGCCTCGAGTCGACGTCACGTGTCGCGGACAGATAGGAGGATACGCGACAGAGCGTTAAGAAGTTCAAACGGCGTAAGTTCAACCCTCATTCGAGTCGTTGACTGTGCCACAACCCCATTTCCCCCTCCCCTCCTCTCCGCACACCCGTTTTTCGAATTACAAGAGGAGGAAGCTATATAGTCGGTTTAGATAGGGGATGGTTAACGACCGCGCGGATATAAATCATGCGCGCGTTTCCTCGACGATGGCACGTGCACAAGCTCGAAAACGACGACACAGACACAGAGGGGGGGATGGTTAATTGGACGCGAAAAATAAATAATCGATCGACGTCGCGAGAGAGAGAAACAGGAGAGGTTGTTTTTTAATGGAATGTCCTGTCCATCGTTCCGGGGAAACCTGTTATATATATTCTCGTTTGCATTATCCATTATGGATATTCGTGTATATATATGTAGGTATTATACGCAGAAGTCACACGCAACACGCGATCGCGTATTGTGTAACAGAAATTACGCTTGTCTCTGGCGACACGTAACCGGCGATATATTAATTCTTGCGCACCACGGTGCGATCGTTAATTCGAATTAACGGGAAGGATACTTGTAATTGATCGTTTCGATTGATTGACAGGAGTTCGATAGGAACAAGTGGAAATTTTCTGGCTAATTTTCTTACGTGATCTTTTATTATTATTGCGCAATCGAGAGAGAAAGTGTGTTTCGCAAAGATAGGAAAAGAATTAATTAATCAATCATATATCAAAATTATTGATATATAATTTTAGTGCGAATAATCGTCGAATTCGATCAATTTCGAACGATAATTATTCCTCCTCCTACGTATATGTAAACGAGAAGGAACGAAACAAAGTCAGCTCGGATGAAAACGATTTCACACGTCTAAGATGGAAATCCAGGCGCGAAAGGCAGGGACGTGGGCGTCGAATCGCTCGCACGACCATAAATCCAGCAACGATACCCTCTCTCCCACCTATGGACGAGCGCGCGCGGCCCACGCCGCCGCGACACACGCATCGTAGACGACGAGCGGCGGCACATTATTGTGTAATAAGTACGTGCCGTACACGCGGTGCCCGCTACGTGTGCACGCGGTGATAATGCGACGTTTAATTATTAACGTCACACGCATGCGCACACATTCACACGCGCTCCGTATCGCGCACCGCGTGTGTACCTGACACGGTGTAGAGACAGGCCAAGAGACGGAGAAAGATACGGTGAGAGAGATGGGAGAGAAAGAGAGACGGCCGAGAGAGGCGGCTGGTATTACACACGACCTCGTTAGTCGTTGCCGCATCGTGAATAATAAATGTTTATATCCGGCCTCTCTGTCATCATCGTTCCTGTTCGCGTAAACGAGCCGACAACGCGGACGTGCCGCGAAAACACTGGGAACAATTTCATTATTCGGAGATACGCGATGACCTGCCGCGTAGCGAGCACACGCTATTCACATGATAGATCCCGTTTTCGCGTGTGTCTCCCTCTCTTTTTCACCCTAGGGTTAAACCTAGGGACCGATTTAATCTGGTTATTTATCTCGATTCCCGATAACCACCTGACGAATGGGCGATTCGTGCGCATGCCTGTTGATCGAGATATTCCCCTCGTGTGGAATCGGTGACACGGTGACGCGATAGATGGAAATTGGATAATTAAATACGAGATTGGCATGATTGAGGTGTATCGAGGGGGTTGTTTTGATTTCGATATAAATGTTTGATGAATCGGAAAGTGGAACGAAAGTGGAATACGGACGTTGAAATATAGATGTCCAATTGATAATACAATCACAATGTACATACATTATAAACTAGTAGGTCAACAGTTCTATTGTGGAATTCTTTCGAACATTGAAATTTAAACTTTCGTTGTTATTCTGTTTACCGAAAAGGATCGTAGACAAAGTTTTTCGAGTTACGAAGAGAGAGATATACGAAAAAAGATCGCGGCGATTTCTTTGCTCGATATATATTCCTTGGAATCACGGAGCAATTTGTCACCAGGAAAAGAACGAAAAGGTAGAAAGAGGATCGCAGGTATGTCACATGCGTGTACACGTTAGAAAGTTCCAGCGTGAATTCCGCGGTATACCTTGGTCCTCTGTTGAACCTTCTAAAGGGAACCTTCATTCGTTCACGGTGAAACGGAGATAGAACGATAATAAGAAAGAAAAAAAAAAGGAAAAGAAACGACGTGGATAAAACAAGAGGGAAAAAAGCGGTGGGAGGATGAAGCGGAAGGTGTAGACGGCTGAAAGAAGAGGGAAGAGTTTAAAGGAAGAAGAGGCAAGACCGCCCTTTTCTCTCGCGGCAAGGACGAAAGCGAGGCACAACGAAGGCCAGAAAGAAGGGAACGATGGAACGGACCTCGAAGGCGAAGGACGGAGAGGGGGCCTCGACCCAAGGGGAGAAGGAAATAAATTGTCGAGGAGACAAATGCCACCGTGATCGGCCGCTAATTTATTACGGGGATCGGAATTAAGCCGACAAAAAGCTGAAAAAGCCCCGCGTAGGCATCCTAAGAACAATGTGTTGGGTGTGTTCGGTGGCCGGTTAGCAGTTTGCCACGGTGAAACGAGAGGAGAAGACGATATAAAGATGAGCAAAGGAAAGACGAGGAGAGAAAAAGATAGATCGAAGGTTTGAATGAAAAGGAACGAGAAGAAAGACAAGGAGAAAAGAGAGAGAAAGGTGTATTTCCATATACTCGCGTCATACACATACGCATATATATATATATATATATATATATATTATATATATTCTGTCTAAAAAAGAAACGAGGAAAGAAAAGGAAGGAAGAAGAAGATGGGGATGTAAAAAGCGCACCGTAAGGTAACGTTAAGAGTGAGAAAAGGAAAAGGGAAGAAAAGAGGTACTGCAAAAGCATGCCATAGTATGGATATACATATATACATATATATACGTACACACAAGAAGAACCTGAATGATGAAAAGGAAGCGAAACAACCTCTGCTCGTTCCGTGTTTGACAGACAGAGAAACGAGGATAGAATGGACGAGGCGATCGAGAAGGAGAGAGAACGTGAAGAAACCGGTCAAAGATAAAGAAAGAAAGAGAGAGGCTCGCTCACTCGCGGCAGTCGGTTCCCACGGCTGCGCAGCATACCTCCACCTTCTCTCGCCTCTCTCTCCGCACCACGCGGTTCTCCTGCCCGCTCATCGTTCCTTCTCGGCCTCGTGCTCCTCTTTCGTCTCCTTCTCTTTCTCTCGCTCCGACGAGTCTACCAGCGCGTCAACTCCTTTCTTTCTACTCTGCAATCCGTCTTTCTCCGTTCGATTCCCTCGAAAAATAATCTCTCTTACCTCGTTTCGCACTATCGAGACTACATCTAGCCACTTCTTTTACCCCTTATCCCCTCTATTTCTTTCTCTATTTCTCCGTTCCGATGGAACAACCTCGTCTAACGTTCCTCTCGTTTGGTCATCTGTCCTTCTTTCGTACGCGTTCAGTTTCGCCACGCAGTGTGCGCAAGCACTGCAATCTCGTCGCGTCCTATGCGCATATATTAATCATCGCGGAAAACGGTCGCGGCGAACGAGAAAGAAGAAACAGGTAGCCATGTATATAGTTGCACGTAAGTATGTAGATGCGACTAATGATTCGGTATTGAGGCTGTTGCCGCTGGTAGAGCGTGATTCATCGTGGAAAAAGGAGCCGGAAGTCGGCTATGACTTTTCGTCGTATCCTGGGAAAACGCGCGGCTATCCTTGCCGTACGTGATATCTTTATAACCGGTTTATATCAACTTATATATTCTTCCTTCTTTTTTCACCATTAAAGGAAACCGATAATAATATGCAAATGGTAGAGAAGTAAGATGATTATTCTCGGAATAATTTTACCCATTAACCGATATATTTTTCGACTCTAGGGATTCTTGTTTAAAGAAAGAAAAAGTATATTTTTCAAAGGATCCGCGTCCGCTCGAATTTGCCTATGGTTAAAAGGTTAATTGACGGAGCATCGATTAAGTAAGAGAGGGATATAAAAAGGGATGAGTGAGAAAAAAAAAAACACGGGGACGAGCCATTGCGGAAAGCCGGCTGTGCTCGTCCTAGCGATTCTATTTTTAACCATTCACGCTTTAATGTCTCGAGCGCGTAGACGAGCGTGTGGTCTCGCGCTCGAGAAGCGTGGCATTTCCGCATGGAGAAATTTTCGTGGCCTCCATTCTTCGTCGAAAGGAGGAAGAGGAAACCGTGGATAACCGAGCGACGACACTGCGTCGACTCTTCGCCTTTAGGCTATCCCCGAGCAACCTATGAAAAGTACATTGACACACCCACCGGTTCACGTGCCGCGAACTTTTTTAAACGCGTTACGTAGCATTTTCTCAACAAAAGCACGAAACAATTTCCGC